GTAGATCGTATAGAAGAACCTGTAGATGGCTTCAACACTTGATCTCTTTGTCTCTCAGTCCGTTCAGTGCTTTGTAGAATAGCTAAGATTCGGCATGGCGTTCATCGCTTGACCGTCGTCGAGATCTTGAATTGAGGATTCCGGGGCGGGGCGTTACAAATGGTATCAACTCCAAAGTATTCCAGACTCAATCTTTTATAGAGGAGTTCTGGGATGCTTTGGATAAGATAGGTCTTGCTTATGATCCTTTCAATGATTGGTTGAGTAGATCGTATAGAAGAACCTGTAGATGGCTTCAACACTTGATCTCTTTGTCTCTCAGTCTATTCAGTGCTTTGTAGAATAGCTAAGGTCCTTTCGGCATGGCGTTCATCGCTTGACCGTCGTCGAGATCTTGAATTGAAGCTTTTGTCATCAAATTGATACCGCATTGTTAATCACTGTATCAGTCTTCATAGGAACACAGTTTATACTCATGTATTTTTTTTGGAGTTCTTGGGAAATAGTTTAACCTCGTATACCCGTTGGGAGGTAGCCAGGTTATTCTTAAGAATATTTTGAGTGATATTCTCCAGAAACTTCCTGTTGATGGTAGGGAAACAGTTTAGACTCGTGTACCTATTGGAGTAATATGGTCTCTTTTTTGTTGGTAGAGATGAACCCAGAATCGGAGAGGAAGAATTTTATATTCTATCTCCTGGTCTCTTGTTTGTTGGTAGAGATAAACCCGGAATCGGAGAGGAAGAATTTTATATCCTATCTCCTGGTCTCTTGTTTGTTGGTAGAGATGAACCCAATGATGGAGAGGAAGAATTTTATATTCTATCTCCTGGTACAAAGGAAATTTGAAGTGGGATTTCTATTCAGAGAATCTGAATAAGGTTTGATCAATTGAGATTGGAAGCAATCTTAACTTTTATAGTTTTGATTGCACAAATCGAAGCTGGACCTCTCGTTCATGGAAGGAATCGAAAGGGGATTTTGGTTTTGGTCCTAACTGTAGTAAGGTTTGACCAAGTGGGAGTTCTGAGATGATCCTAACTGTTTAAAGGTTTGATCATCCAATTTGTGGACCTCTCGTTCATGGAACGAATCTCAATGATTTTTGATCTCTTATATATTAACTGTATTTTTCTTATACAACGAGCCCTGTTCCCTTGGGGTTGGTTGTGATGTTACTCGCTAGCGCTTTGACGCTTCGTTGTCCCTCCCATTTCAGGTCACGAGCCAGGAGCCCGGAGAGTCGCAGGTTGATGGCGACACACTTTAGTGTTCCGTTGTTTAGTTATACTTATATTGGAGCTCCACTATTGATTTTGTTAGACATTTGAGAGTATTGTTTTAGAAGTTGTAAAGGCTGTGTGCCTTATTTCCTTCTTGTCAGATATTTGTATTTGAGACTTGTTGAGTACTCTAGTTCATTTATTCAGACATTGACTATGTATTTCCATTTGTTGGATGATGAGACATCTACTTGATCAGTATTATTTCATCAGCCCTTCGTGTATTATCTTTTACTTGCTTTTGTACCTACACCTGTTATTGACTCTACTAGATAGATGTCAATTGTGATGGTGAAACATGTTGTTGCACGGTGTGGTGCATGGCAGGTTTGACATTCTTGGTTTCACCTTGGACTGCAGCCTTGTGTGAACCCAGGGACGTCACAAATACTTGTCCGTGATACTACACAACTTGAAGCTTGTCTCTTCTGATAACTAGGAATCTTTGGATCTGGAAATGTGGCCAAAAGAAGGCCACAGCTATATAGTTACACGACTTCTTAGGTGCTATCTAGAGTTAAAGACCCTCAAAATCTCGTTTATCGACTATAATTGGGTGAGAACATACTATTCAGTTGGCATTTATCATACATCAGTTATTTTATAAGTAAGCTTATTCCCTTCACCTATGTGCAGGGTTACCCTAATGACATTTTTGATGAAGAAAGGGAGAACTATCCCAAACCTCCAGACATCCTATCAGGAGAAATGGTCCACCGGAATCTGAGAATGCTTGAGTTGAAGGGATGTAAAGGCTATGGTGACGAACTGCGGACAATGAAATTATTGTTGCAGACTGGTGTCGCTCTAGAAAAATTTATAGTTGATATTTCTAAGGATGAAGAGTCATGGACAGTGGATGACATCCAGGCATTACCCCGACCTTCTAACATTGAAACCAAGATCAATATATATTAGTCCCCAAGTAAAGCATCAAGTAAAGGGATCTGCTAAACTTTATATTTAGACCTTATTCTATGGTTTGTTTATCTTGCTGTAGGTGGTTCTAAATGTTGAACTTTAGACCTTTATCTCCCTGGTTTTCAAGTTATGTTGTTGATGGTTCTAACCTTAACTTTTGCATAAGTAACCATGACTTTAGTCCGTAACGTGGTGATGTTTAACTGCTACTGCTGGTCTACTTCTGCAACTTCGGATACTCTCTACATGTGCATGTATGTGAGTGCACGTCTATGTTAGCATGTGTATACATGTATGCATGCACAATATTGCTTTTTACAGAAATTGTGCAAATCATGTAATTTTGGAAAATATGATTTATTTCTCAACCATGCATGAATGCAGAGGATGAAAAAGATGTCACTCGGATCCTATGATATTTAACAGACAACATACTGATGTGTCCATTCATAATAAAAAAAACGTAATATAACAATCATAGAAGCTTGTAGTTAATTCTTTATAGAATTTATTAAAGAATATTTCACTTTCCTTCCAGCTATATATTTCGACCCATCTCAATGACCATGTTTCTCTCACTTTTCGGTCCTTAATTTGTTTGATTTAAGTGAAACACTAAACCTCAGATGCAAGAGAATTACATAGGAACCGATTCTATCATATGATTAAAAAGGTCTATACTGCCAACAACCAAATATCCTCAATGATGTTTCCCTAGACCTCAAATAACTTTAGGGTAAATTTTTAGGCATAAGAGGACATCAGTTATGTGTCGCTCACAAATAAGTAATCCAAAATGGAAAGAAGGAAATGGTTTACTTTCTCAACCACACATGCACATATAGGATAGAAAAAGACATTGGAAGGGTGCTATGATATTTAGCAGACATCATTCCTGTGTCTTATTCATATAACGAAATATGTAATATAGTAATCATAAGGCTCTTAGTTTAACTTTATAAAAGAAAATCTCACAACTATATATTATTAACATGGATATGTCTCGCAATGCTTCACATTGTTGCCGCAACTCCTGTATTACAAATATTGAACGATAGTTTAGGAACAGATAGTGCGCCAGATGTAAAAAAACACATAAATATTATATAATTTCCATGTCTTCTTTCCAGTTGCAAGTAGTTATCAATTTGTTTCTATCAAGCAACTTCAATAACCATAAAAGTTTCACCAACTTCATGCTAATTTGTTTTGTTAAGCATCTATGATTTGCTACTTCATCTTCTGTAAGAAGTTTTTTTATGAGATATTCGAGCTATCATTCAAGGCAACAACCAACAAAAATGTAGACTAAACTATTTCAAGTAAAGAAACTAAGAGCAAATTAATCAAAATCAATAAATATAATAACCTGGACAACTATATTGAAATAGATAAACATCATAATTTGATAATTTTTATGAACCAAAAATGACTTTTGTAAATTGTCTCATAATTCTTACTTAAGACAATTATTTTTAAAACAACTGAAAAATAAAAAATTGCAAATGCGTAGCTTATTTCTAACGACCACAATATTATTTAAAATAGTTGCTGGCGAAGAGAAAGGAATCAATAGATTTATGACTGGCATGTTGTGGGTCCATGTCATGTCACCATCTATCCATGTTCATATCAGAGCATTAGATTTAGCAGGTAAGATAAAATTGAGTTAATGTCAATCTAGATTGTGGTAAATGGTAAGTATTATCATAATAAATTGATCCAAACTTGAGAAGTTGAATTCTTTCAGATAATAGCACCAATAAGTTTTTTCAGCACACAGACACGCAGAAGGAAAATGCACAAATACACAAAATTGCAAGCACAACCATAAAGGTTAGTGATATGTCCACAGGTTTATATATAAGCTCGAGAAATTAGGTAACAGATTGATCTCCAAAATTCCATTAGCGCTAAAGGTTTTGCAGAAGTACCTAGATGAGATATCGTCTTCAGGTGATGCTTCTGCCTCATCTTCACCAATCATGTATGGAAAATTGAGACCTAAACAATCTGACAGAGCAATTCCATAAAATGGCAATTCAGTAGTTTAAACATACCTATAGGGTGATTGATAAAGCAATTGACAGAATTGCATAGTCTGTTTTTGAGATTTGAGATTTGAGAATTGCATAACTGATAAAAGGGTAAAATAGAATTAAAAAGCAAGCAATGTACTGATTGAGATTTGAGATTAGAAAAATATTAAAATCACTACCATAAATCACCAACTAAGTATAATAATCTATTTATTAATGTGTCTTTTCAAAGATCCATTATTAATGTTAAAGAGAAATTAATATAAAATGAATAACATTTTGACAGAGGAAATCTTCAGATCTGAGCACATATCAATAGTTCATTAATTTAGAGGAAATATTCATATCTGAGCACATATATTTGAGTGGAGATAGAACTTCAAATATACTCATAAATGAAAAGAAAATAGAGGCCCAAACACAATTATCGTGGTCAACCCATCTCAATCAGTTTTTTCCCTTCATATATCAAACAATAAAGACACATAAGCATCTCAATCATACTTCATAACTAAAAATTTATTTAAATCCTAACAAATTTATGAGGACTTTAAGGATATTTTTATTTGTGTTCACCTGTTGATCCTTGAAGGCACATTCTGAGATGATATGATCACAACTGGCATATCCTTGAGAGATTGTGATTCCTAATTCAATAATATTGAAAAAGAATATATAAGAATTTTTCCCAATAACAAAAAAATGAAAAGCCTAAATAACAATGAAAAATCAAATTAAAAAAGGAGTACCTCAATTTTCTTTAGCAGATCATATCCAGTCATTCCAGGAATACAATAGTCTGTAATCACCAAATTCACCTCAATTTCCTGAAACAATAACAAACAATAACCATTTAAAAATTCATCCAAAATAAGTAAAAAACAAAAATTTCAAAAAGTGTAAATAAAAAGCTCACATTTTGTTCAGGATGAGTAGAAGAAGAATAAGAAGATGATGAATCTACTTGCAGAGGGAGGGGAGGAGGAGAGGAGACCGAGGAATCGATCGGAGTCTGGAGATGAGGAGCGGGGTGAGAATAGAGAGAATTATAGGGGTGTGTTTTGAATTTTGAAATGTGAGCTGATGTGGATACACAGGAGAGGAGAGAGAATTATTGTAGCATGAACGGTAATTCTCATCTTACTGCATTAATAACCCCTGAAGCTCGTGATCATAAGCAAACAAAGATATAGACTTTAGTAAATCTGAAATTTATCAATAACAATTTATACTTGAGCAAAAGAATTCCATACGAAAGATCGCTTGATTATATCCTGCACAAATTGCTTTAGGAAGTCCACAACAGGGTACAATAATCCAAATCATATATGAGCAACTAATTAGGCCTGGGTTTTATTCCAATATGGCAAAACCCAGTTATAAAAAGCCAAACCCTTTTTTCTGACCCGATCAATGAGCAATCTGCACTATCTCACAGACATATTTCATCATTCATCTCAGATTCTCAATGCATCAAACAACGAACACATAGAATGAGGGTTTGTTTAAAAGATTGCAAATTTTCAGTTGCACTTTGTATTTCAAAAAAGTGTTTCTCAAAGCAAGATTGCTGCTTCCTCATCATAGTATGTGTTATTTCTTTAAAACTCTATAAACAGATAAAAACAATCATAATCACTCATCCCTCAATACTTTTAAAGTTTATACTAATAAACAAAACTGCTAGTCTGCTGCTACTTGTCAATTGCAATAGTTGGTGCCTAATTAGAGATGTAACTTCATCTTTCTTATCACTAATTTTACTTTCTTTTTCATATATCTTCTTTCGTTTCTCTATATTTCCTACATCTAAAATGAATCAGAAAACTTCCAACTTCATTAACCTCCCAACTTTTTCGGACTTTTTGACATTAATGATTTGTTTAGAATTGCCTCTATGAGGGTAAAAATTAGTTAATACTACCCAATTAACAAATTTCCTTTTTTCTTTTTTACCCTAACAATCAAGCAATTTCAATTGATTCAACAATATTATTAGCAACTTCCTCAGGGTGAAAGACTGATCAAGCATACAAATGCATCATAAACCCACCAATTTATAATCAGTTGCATCAAAATCCAAACTTTTTCATATAAACAGCTAGATACTTCAATCAACACTTAGGATCACATGAAAGAACTTGAGGGGAACCCAAAAAATGCAAAATTAACATTTTTAATACAGAAAAATTCAGCAGCAACTAAACCCATCACAATAATCATCAAAATTAAGGTATTTTAATTACATTACCGCATGTGGCAGAAGTCGTAATTGGAACCCTAGACTTCGATTCTGAATCAGACCCCAAGAATCTCACTCCAATCCCTCAGTAAAGCTTATAGAGGAAGAAAGAGGGAGGACAAAGAAGAAAGGGAGAGATGATTGGAGAGAGAGAGAGAGAGAGAGAGAGAGAGAGAGAGAGAGAGAGGAGACAACTACATCCTCGCTGATGAAGACGGTGACGTCGATGCTGGAGCTCACAGATTCGATGCAGAGACTTGCGAGAGATTGGGGAAGAGATTAATGGTTAGGGGATGAGAGAGAGGGAGAGATTTGGTCTGATTTGAGAGAGAGCCCTCCGTTGATTTGAGATTTTGGGCAGCGCGAGGAGGGGGCTTGAGACTGAGACGGAGGGAATTTGTGAGAGTGAGGCGGGGGGATTATGAGAGAAGGGGGAAATTTTGAAATTTGAACAGAATTTCTGAGAGAGAATTCCGAGAGATTGGGGAAGCGGTAAGAACTGTAGCGGGTGAGAGGAGAGAGAATTACTGTAGGATGAACAGTAACTCTCTGATCCTCCTATTTGTATAGAAGAATAGATTTCTTTTTTCTACTTCATTTCTCTTTGTTGCTTTTATAGTTATGTACTTATTCCTTTTGAACTAAAATGCCATATTTTGTACTACATTTTTACTTTAATCTAAGGGCCTGTTTGGTTATTTCATAAAACACCAAGAAATAGAAATGAAAACCAAGAAAACTCAAAAAGTACAATTTTATCCATTTTCATTCCTAAAACTCACTCACAACATCTAATAAAATATTATTTTTATCCAATAACTCATCCACCACATCTGATAAAATATTATTTTCATCCAACAACTCATCTACCACATCCACCACATCTAATAAAATATTATTTTCATCCAACAACTCATCCATCACATCTAATAAAATATTATTTTCATCCACAACATCACTCAACTCATATCATCTCATCATTTCAAATCACTCACATCATCCAATAAGATGGTGACAACTCATCTCATCTCATTAACATTTCATTTCCAACCATTTCCTCCCAAAAAGCTAGGAAAACAATTTTCTTAAGTGCAGGTCACATCATCCAATAATATAATGACAACTCACCTCATCTCATCTATTTTCTTATTTTTAAGAATGAACCAAACAAAAGAAAACAACATATTACAAGAAATAGGTTTCTTATAATTCATTTCCTTATTTTTTTCAAGAAATAGGTTTCTTATTTTTAAGAATGAACCAAACAAAAGAAAACAACATATTACAAGAAATATGTTTCTTATTTTTAAGAATGAACCAAACAAAAGAAAACAACATATTACAAGAAATAGGTTTCTTATAATTCATTTCCTTATTTTTTTCGTCAACCAAACAACATCAAAACAAGTTTTCTTAAAAAATCACTCACATCATCCTATAATAAGATGACAACTCATCTCATTCCATCTCCATTTCTTTGATTTCCTTCTTTTTTTAGCAAAACAAACACTCCCAAAATATTTCTTCTTAGAAATAGTTTTCCATTTCTTTGATTTCCCACTTTTTTTAGGCAAACAAACAGACCCTAAGAAGGCTCTCCTCCTTTGTCAGAGAAAAAAGGAAAAGAAAACGCAGCCCGTTCCGTTTCGCCTCCAACGTCTTTTCTCATGTTTGACAACCGCAAGGAAATAATCCAACGGGTCCCACTCGTCAGCAGCGGTAACTCACACCTCGAGAACACCACCCACTAACATACTCCCGCGGGCGTGCATCTCGAGAACCCCAAACCCTACTTATTTCATGCCCTCCTCCACTCATCACTGTCGCTCTCTTTCTCTCGATCAACTTCCCTTTTATCACTATCTTTTCTCCTCCTCTCCTTTCCTTTCTCAGCTCAAGAGAAAAGAAAAATGAGGACCTCTCTGCTCAGATCTGTGGAATCCGCCGTCAAGAGGAGCAGATCCGCTCACCTCCGGCGATCTTTCCATGCCGGCGCCGTTCCGGAGCGCAAGGTCGCCATCTTGGGCGCCGCCGGCGGGATTGGTCAACCCCTGTCCCTGCTCATGAAGTTAAACCCTCTCGTTACCAGGCTCGCACTCTACGATATCGCCGGAACCCCCGGCGTCGCCGCTGATGTCAGCCACATCAACACCCCAGCCGAGGTCAGTCGGATCTAGACTTCGTCTTCCTTCAGATCTATTGATTTGTTGTCGTTTTTGTTTTCGGACATGTGATCTAGGGTTTTGGATCTTTGTAGGTTGCTGGATACGCTTCAGAGGAGCAGCTAGGGAAAGCTTTGGAGGGATCTGATCTCGTCATCATCCCCGCTGGAGTCCCGAGGAAGCCTGGGATGACGAGGGATGATCTCTTTAACATTAACGCGGGGATCGTCAAGTCTCTCTGCACTGCCATCGCTAAGTACTGCCCTAATGTGAGGATCAAATCTCTTGCCAGAGTTGGTTGCTTATTGGAATTCTATTGGTTTTTTTTCTTTGATTCACTTAGTTTTGTATTTGGATCAGGCTCTTGTTAATATGATAAGCAATCCTGTGAACTCGACGGTGCCGATTGCATCGGAGGTTTTCAAGAAGGCTGGTACTTATGATGCCAAGAAGTTGTTTGGTGTTACCACGCTCGATGTTGTGAGAGCCAAGACCTTTTATGCTGGCAAGGCCAAGGTTCCAGTTTCTGGTACGAATCCCCCCCCTCCTCACTTTCGTAGTGTTAATTTTTACTAAAATCTATGTGAAATTGATTACCGAGAATAATTTGCAGAGGTTAATGTTCCTGTTGTTGGTGGGCATGCGGGTATAACTATCTTGCCACTGTTCTCCCAGGTGATTACTCTGTTCATTATTTGCTGTCCTTCATATGGGGCTTTAAGCTTCAAAGTTGGTGTCCAAACTTTTGGGTTTTTAAGGAGAAGTAGACCGCTGTTTATCTACTTGGACATGAACTATAATTCTCAATTTTAGTTACAACATAAATCTTCAGTTCCATATTTTGCGTTGGTTTCTTTGATGCTGATTAGATTTGCACTGTTAATGGTAATATATGATGCCTCATAGGAAGACTCAAATATGCTATCCATATTTGGGACCTCAGCCAATTAGTTCCATAAGAGCATCTCCAATCACTCACAAAATCTCCATCCCTCCAAATTTGGAGAGTAAATCCTCTCCAATCACTCTCCAAATTTGGAAATGGTTCACTCTCCAAATTTAGAAAGCGAAGCTAGAATTTGGAGAGGCTCTCCAAATCACTATTCAAACTTTCATTATTTACAACTTGCCACTTTCAACTATTTAATTTCTTAAAAATTACCACTTTACCATCATTCTTAGTAATTTAAATTAGATGTTTAATTTTAAATAAATATAGTTAAAAAATTATAAATCTAATTTTTGTAATAATTGTATATTTGGAAAGGTCTCGTTGAGATCTTCAAAATGAAACTAAGATTAATTTATTTTAGTATTATTATTAGTATTATTATAAAATTATTATTTTTTAAATTAAATAAATAAGTATCAGACATAAAAATTTAAATATGGGGATCTATTTAACTTGCCCCATAAGAAAATACAAGCATAAATTATAATATTTAAATTACATTCCTTTGTTGTCGTACCTCTGCCATTAATGTTCAATTAGTGCGTTCTGAAGCATAAAATGAGCTTCCCTATATTGAATCTTCCTATGTCGATCATGGAATCGTTGGAATCGTTCGGCATCGTCAGTCTTCATCTCTTCAGGTCTTGAGGATTCTGTTGGCCCTTTGGTTTTGATGATGATGGCAAACAATTTATTAAATAAGATACAACATGCATATGAATAAACCAAGTTTTCTCCCCCTTTGACAACATCAAAATGGGGAAAAGATAGGAGCAGTGCTCCCCCTGCATACATGCATAGGTTAGAAGATATGGATAGACACAAACTCCCCCTGTCAAGAAGCATGAGTGATTACATGTGATATATATAAGATTCATACTCAATGAAAAGGAAGAACTCACAAACATTTGAGTTATGATGTACCATCCACTTCATGATGGTATAAGCACAAAATATTAAGTTGAACCATGTGGATGAATACAAACAATAACAACCAGATATATACAAACATTAACCAACCAACATCCTCAGATCCTGCCTCTGAACCAGATTCTTCAGCAGAACCTTCATCAGAACCAGAGGCTGAGCCAGAACCAGATCCGGAAACAGACGCCTGAATCCCGAGGGATTGACGCTGGAGCCGCAGAATCTCCCTCACGTCACGCCGAAGACCAGAAACAGTAGACTCAAGTCTGTCAAGACGATCATCGAGATGCTCGAAACGATCATAGACCTCACTAGAAGAAATAGGAGCTGAACGAGTACGAGGTCGAGGCCTAGAACTAGAAGATGGTCTAGAAGAAGATGCACCCGCAGAGGGTAAAAGAGCAGGAATTGAGGCTTCAAGATGCATCCTAGAAAGGGATGTTGTATCAAAAAATTCTTTATTAGCATCTACTTTTGGTTCACCCGAGAGATCGACACGGAAGTGTTTGAAGATGATAGTGAGGAATGAGCCAAAAGGAAGGAACTTGGTATGCTTGCTAATCATATTATCAAGAAAAACAAGCCCCCAATTGACTTTGATTTTTGCAAAGATGGCATAGACAGCATTAACTTTATCAGAGGCAAAGTGGTCAAAACTACCAGTTTTGGGAATAAGGTTGTGAGCAATAATCTTAGCAATGATTTTACCTGAGGGGTTCAAGGTGTTATTGTTCATAGGATAGGTACAACCGGGAAGAAACATTTTACTGTCGACAAAAGGGTGATTACGAACAATGGACATAAGATTAATATCACTTGTCGGGATCTTAAGGATACCCGCAAGATCATCAGCAGAAAACTCAATCTGGGTGTTCTTCACATATGTTCTAAGATATAAAACATTAACATCAGATGTGTAGGAGGATATATTAGCATAGAAGAGATAAACAAGAAAAGGATAATGAGGTTCTTTGTTCTTTTTATCTAAAAGATGATACAGGCCAACATCATTAAGGAGATTAGGAATATTATAAGGTGCAAGTTCATTATAGTTAACAGTCCTACCAGTTAAAATTTTTAGTTTGCACAATTCCCTGTACTTGGGAATAAGATGGGAATTTCTCAGGTAGTCTTCATAATGATCAGCATTAGAAAAATGTACACTATCAGACTTAGATGTTTTCATAGGAGGCATATTTAGCAAGAAACCCTAAACTAAGAACAGAACCTAGAAACTTAAAGAGATGGAAGAAGGATTTACCCAGTACGATGAAGGATCCGAAGGAGATGAATCGAACAGACACGGGCGATCGGAGATGGAATGGCGGTAGACCGCAAGAACAGAGCTGGGAGATCGGATTTGATGAGGGAATTGGGAACGAATGAAACCCAGAGTATGCTCTCGGGAATTGGTTTTCAGCCCTAGGTTTGAAAAATTACACAATTGCTATATTGATGTAAAAAGTATGTTAATATGAAATCCACTCATGAAACACTAGCTACTAAGTTTAATTTTATTGCAAATGAAAATATAATTCTTAAAGAATGCAATGAAAATTTGAAAATTAAAATGCTAGTTTGCTTCATGAAAAACGTGATGCTATGTTAGAAGTAGATAAGTTAAAATCTATGATGAGTAATCTTGTTTATCCTACTTCTAGTAGCAATGCTTGTATGTAAAATGATGAGTTGAATCAAATTAGCAATGCTTGTATGTAAAATGATGAGTTGAATCAAATGAGAAAACGTATATCTACCTTAGATTCAACACTAAACACTTGTATATCCGAAGGAAATTCCCTCATCAAATCCGATCTCCCAGCTCTTTCTTGCGGTCTACCGCCATTCCATCTCCTGTCGCCCGTGTCTGTTCGATTCATCTCCTTCGGATCCTTCATCGTACTGGGTAAATCCTTCTTCCATCTCTTTAAGTTTCTAGGTTCTGTTCTTAGTTTAGGGTTTCTTGCTAAATATGCCTCCTATGAAAAGATCTAAGTCTGATAGTGTACCTTTTCCTAATGCTGATCATTATGAAGACTACCTGAGAAATTCCCATCTTATTCCCAAGTACAGGGAATTGTGCAAACTAAAAATTTTAACTGGTAGGACTGTTAACTATAATGAACTTGCGCCTTATAATATTCCTAATCTCCTTAATGATGTTGGCCTGTATCATCTTTTAGATAAAAAGAACAAAGAACCTCATTATCTTTTTCTTGTTTATCTCTTCTATGCTAATATATCCTCCTACACATCTGATGATAATGTTTTATATCTTAGAACATATGTGAAGAACACCCAGATTGAGTTTTCTGCTGATGATCTTGCAGGTATCCTTAAGATCCCGACAAGTGATATTAATCTTATGTCCATTGTTCGTAATCACCCTTTTGTCGACAGTAAAATGTTTCTTCCCGGTTGTACCTATCCTATGAACAATAACACCTTGAACCCCTCAGGTAAAATCATTGCTAGGATTATTGCTCACAACCTTATTCCCAAAACTGGTAGTTTTGACCACTTTGCCTCTGATAAAGTTAATGCTGTCTATGCCATTTTTGCTAAAATCAAAGTCAATTGGGGGCTTGTTTTTCTTGATAATATGATTAGCAAGCATACCAAGTTCCTTCCTTTTGGCTCATTCCTCACTATCATCTTCAAACACTTCCGTGTCGATCTCTCGGGTGAACCAAAAGTAAATGCTAATAAAGAATTTTTTGATACAACATCCCTTTCTAGGATGCATCTTGAAGCCTCAATTCCTGCTCCTTTACCCTCTGCGGGTGCATCTTCTTCTAGACCATCTTCTAGTTCTAGGCCTCGACCTCGTACTCGTTCAGCTCCTATTTCTTCTAGTGAGGTCTATGATCGTTTCGAGCATCTCGATGATCGTCTTGACAGACTTGAGTCTACTGTTTCTGGTCTTCGGCATGACGTGAGGGAGATTCTGCGGCTCCAGCGTCAATCCCTCGGGATTCAGGCGTCTGTTTCCGGATCTGGTTCTGGCTCAGCCTCTGGTTCTGATGAAGGTTCTGCTGAAGAATCTGGTTCAGAGGCAGGGTCTGAGGATGTTGGTAGTGATTGATGGACTTTTGGTGGTTCTTTAGTTATGATGTTTTTATTTGGACGTTGTAGTATTTAACTTAAAACACCTCTGTTCTGTTTTGATCTGCAATATTTTGGTTAACAATCTGAATGTTTGGATGTGAATTGATGTTTGAAAACAATAATTTGTTTTTGTTTAATGCTCGGTTCTATCTGAATAATTCATATTATATGTTGGTTTTTGTGCTGAATAATTCATATTATATGTTTAGCTTACAACATCATGAAGTAGATTTATTCTATTTTATGTTGCCTTTTTCATCCACATGTTTCTATGTCTCAAATGATCTATCTGGTGGTTAATGTTTGTATATATCTGGTTGTTATTGTTTGTATTCATCCACATGGTTCAACTTAATATTTTGTGCTTATACCATCATGAAGTGGATGGTACATCATAACTCAAATGTTTGTGAGTTCTTCCTTTTCATTGAGTATGAATCTTATATATATCACATGTAATCACTCATGCTTCTTGACAGGGGGAGTTTGTGTCTATCCATATCTTTTAACCTATGCATGTATGCAGGGGGAGCACTGCTCCTATCTTTTCCCCATTTTGATGTTGTCAAAGGGGGAGAAAACTTGGTTTATTCATATGCATGTTGTATCTTATTTAATAAATTATCATGAGAGCATACTCTGGGTTTCAGCCTTTGGCGGTCGACCGCAGTATAGCCGTTGCACTGTA